AATATTACAAAATATTGAAGCTGCAATTAATGCAAAAATACAAATTCCTATATATTGGTTGTCGGAAAAGTCATGACGTATATGCAACAAAGTATGCAATTGCATCGTTGGAAGTACGTGAGTCAATGACATTTGTATGTTGATTGTGTAGTTTGAAAGTTGACACTTCAAGCTTCATTTGCACCAAAAAATTAAGTGATTTATTTGAGTCTCGTCGATTTTAGAGGACGTTGAAGATGGACGACCAAACTGTGCATTTTCGTCACATTTTGCTGTATTACTTCCGCAAAAGCAAGAACGCAAGACAAGCGTGTGAAAAGTTGAGAAAGGTTTATGGAGAACATGCACTACAAGAACGGCAATGCCGGAGATGATTTAAAAAATTCCGACATGGGGATTTTGATATCCATGACGCACCTCGATCAGGGCGGCCTACTGAGTTGGATAGTGACGAATTAAAGGCATTGGTAGGAGCAAACCCACATTACACCACACGGAAAATTGCAGAAACCTTAAAAATCCATCATTCAACCGTTCACGACCATTTGAAGAAACTGGGATACGTAAGCAAACTCGATCGTTGGGTACCACACGAACTGAGAGAGGTTCATTTGACGGCGCGTGTAGACATCTGCGATATGCTCCTTAAACGTGAGGAAAACGATCCTTTCTTATAGCGCTTGATAACGGGAGATGAAAAGTGGATTGTTTACAACAATGTGGTTCGCAAAAGGTCTTGGTCCCGAAGTGTAAATACGCGTAACACGATCGCAAGCAGAGAGTCATCAGGAAAAGGTGATGCTCTCTGTTTGGTGGGATTTTAAAGGGATCGTGTTTTTCGAACTCCTGCCAAAGAACCAAACCATCGATACAACTGTGTATTGTCGGCAATTGGACAGTTTGCAACAATCCATCATGCAAAAACGTCCGGAGCTCATTAATCGCAAAGGAGTTGTGTTCCACCATGACAACGCGAGACCGTACACAAGTTTGCTCACTCGTCAAAAGTTATTGGAGTTAGGATGGGATGTGTTACCACATCCAGCATACTCGCCTGATCTTGCCCCATCTGATTTTCATTTGTTTCGGTCGCTTCAAAATTCCTTGCGAGAAATACGCTTTACTTCAGATGAAGCTGTACATCAGCACCTTGTTCAATTTTTTGCCGGTAAAGACAAATCCTTCTACGAGCGAGGAATTATGAAGCTGCCTGAAAGATGGCGAAAGGTTATCGATCAAAATGGGCAATACATTATTGATTGAAGTTTGTGCTGTATATGAATAAAATGGCCTTAAAATAAACAAAAAAAAGCGTCATGACTTTTCCGACAACCCAAACATTTTGTCAAAAACGATACGTACAAATAGAACTGTACCAATGATAGCACCAAAATGCTGAAAGTTAAGGGTGATGTTGCTAATTTCTTAGAGAAGGATGAAAATGCGAGGATGTGCACAGGGAAGAAGGACTATCTAAGCTCTCTAAAGTATAAAACAAATCTCAATACATCTATTAATAAATTAACTTATGTTTTTTATCGAAATTCAGCACCAAATCGTTGTAAAAATCATTCCCCCATCCTATCAGTTATTCCCTCATTTCATAGTTTTTTAAAAGTCATTTTTCTACATGTTATACACAAAAATATGGAGAACCTTCATTTTCAATGAAACTCACTAAAGTAAAACTTTATATTTCTGCAAAAAAGGATATATTTTCATTATGTTCTTTAAGAAATGCAAAATGAAATTTCTAAATTTTTTGAGAAATACCCATGTGTCTATACATACATTTATTATTTATACACGTTGAACTCAAGCCGTCAGACAAATTTGGTTCATAAGGTGTTAAAAATCCAATTCAATACATCATGTCAGTTGGCCATTTCCAATGGTGACTGTCGGCATTTGAGCCATTACCAGGAGGACTGACTAGGGATATTTTATATCCAAAAAAAGAATTGTACCTGAAACCCAGATTCTCTTGAATGTGTTGTTCAAAATGATCCTACTTCTCTTACTATAACTGCAATGCTTTGTATGCGTTGAAATAAAGGATTGAACTTCTATGTAAATGTATGCAGATGCGGCGTATTTATCCATTGCATTTAATGCTGTACGTAAGTTTCATTTATGCCTTTTACTGACTATTATATGCTCTCTGAATGCTAATTTAGATCGTATCGTACTATGCGACGCGTGACAGAGTCATTCATAGTTTATGGTCAAGATGCTGTACTTATTATATCTCACTGTCAGGTAGACTTTCGCACTATTTCTGTACATGGTGCTTCCTAAAAACACGAATAAAATTCACGGGATGACTCCGTGAACTATTTTATTTTTTGACAACTTTCGAAAAATTTAAAAAAGTTACATGGCGAACAAAATTTTCACTTGTAATTAGTAGAGAATATACAGGGTGTCCTTAGACTTGGAAACAACTACTTCTGAAGTAACAAAGCTGTGCGCGATAAAGAAACAGCGGACACGTAAAAAAGAAATTGGAGAAAAATACTCACTGTTCAAATTTTAAATACTGCCATGTCATACGTTTGCTTCAAAATACTGTTAAAGTTGTCACCATTCAATTAGAAAATACAGGTTTGTTAGGACCAAGTTTATAGTGCAACATTTGGAGCTGACTACGTCGTCTAGTGCGTCCACCTCGACAACCTTTGCACGATATAAACAAACGTGTTTTTTTAATAAATTGCTGTTACATCTTTTTTATTTAAATTGACAATCAACGTAGAATGTTTGAGTTTTTACTTTTTTCTGTATCACTGAAGGAGGCAACCAATTTCTTCCGAAACGTCGACACTTTATAATATGAAGCTGTGTTACCTTAGATACTTTTTTACAAATAAAGGTCACTATAGTCAACGCCAAACAAAGTGGCATGCACGTCATCACGATAAAAATTCCCCGACCTAATGCCTAGGTTTCTATCACAAACAATTGCTCTATTGCAGTTTCATATTAATGTGATATATAAATTGTAAAATGGTCATTACTCTCTTATTATGGTTAATAGTCATATAAACATTGTTATTAAAATATCACATAAGTTGCTTTCTGATAAATTTAGACGCATTATGCGAAATAAAATGTTTTGCAAACGCTCCAATCACTTATCGACATGTAAACGCACTAAACCGATTTCGCAGCGTTGACACATTGTCACCTTGAAAGTTTCAACTGGGAACTGACATTTGTATTAATTTTGACACTGAATCAATTTGTGGCATTTCAAATCTTTATAAATCCTTTGGCCCCGGATACTGTAAATCAACAACTGTTTGTTTCAAAACAAAATTATTCATTTTACGAGTAGATAAAGGCAATTTTGGTATATAAAGATGCCCAAACAGTTAAATAGTCGGTGTAAGGAACTCGTGGCCTCGTTAATGCACTACTTTGAGCAAGAAAGGGACAACAACGGGCCTTTGTTGCCTTTAAATGCTGTTCAAGAGGTAGGTTACCAATAATTATATGTAATGTATATTAATAATAGTGAAATTTTATTTCATTTTTTGTAGCGTGTTGCTGCTGCTTTAAAAATTAGTTTAAGGACAGTTAGTCGTATTTCCGAGGGTGTGAAAAGTGATGCAAATTTAGAATCGCCCAAGAAAAGTTATATTAAACGTGTAACCAACACAGCAACATTGGATACAAGTGCCATTCGAGAAGTGATCTATAATATGTATCACAAAAGTAAGATCTTATTATAATAACTTATCAGAAATTTGCATTAATTTGTTAACTAAATTATAATGTCATATTACACATGGTTTCAGAAGAACAAGTTACGATACAAACTTTATGGTCTCGATTAAGAGATAGGGCATTATTTGATGGTAGTGCCACGTCTTTAAGGCGGTTGCTTAGAGATCTTGGATTTAAGTGGCTTAAGGACAATCCGCGACGAGGGCTCATGGAACTACCAAGTATAGCTTTGAAAAGGGTGGAATTTCTAAGGCAATACAATCAAGCCAAGGTTGAGGCCTTATACCAGTTTGTCTTCCTCGATGAAACTTGGATATTTCAAAATGGGACCATAGGTCGCTCTTGGCAAAATGGAAACCAAAAAAGCGTGAAAGCTATTAAAACAGATGGTAAAAGGTATGTACTTTTACACAATTTGCACTATAAAATTTAAAACTAATATATTTTAGATACATTATATTACATGCTGGAAATGAAAATGGGTTTATTGAGGGTAGTGAAGCGATATTTTCTTCGAAAACAAAATTGAGCGATTACCATGGAGAGATGAACCAGGACAATTTTTTGAAATGGTTTCAACATCAGTTATTAGAAAAATTGGAGAGTCCATCTATGATTATACTGGATAACGCCCCTTATCACAGCATGATATTGAACAAAGTGCCCAACAATGCATGGACAAAAAAAAATATCCAAGACTGGTTGACAAATCAAAACATACCATTTTTAAACACAATGTTTAAAACGGAGCTATTGAGCATTGTTGCTCGGTACATAATGCTTCTTAATTATATATATTTTGGTCGACAGTTTATATTTCTTTTGTTTATTCCTATTCTTAAAATAACTGCTTTTTTAGAAACAAACCACCTAAAATATACGTGATTGATGAATTGGCGGAACAACATGGGCACAAAGTTCTTCGTCTGCCTCCTTACCATTGTATATTTAACCCTATTGAGTTAATTTGGGCATAGCAAAAGGTTACTATAACAGACATATTGGTAGAGATGGTAACAGTGAAAAAGACTGTTTGGCTATGTGGAACGAGGCTCTACAAACGGTTACCCCAGACATGTGGAAAAATAGTGTTCGACATACTGAGCAAGAAATTTTTAAATGGTATGAAAGAGAACGAATTTTTGATCGACCAGACATCGAACCTTTAATAATCAACTTTGAGAGTGATGAAGATTCAGATTCAGACAGCGCTGAAGAAAGAAACTCCGACTAACTTTATTGTACAGAAAAAGCTTACACCAGTAGCTTACCTAATTTTAGAATGCATTTTTCTGTATGAATTCTGTAAAATAAATACCATGCATAAAATTTGGAGGACCCCATTTGGATTTTTATTCAGTACCTTTAAGCTATCAATTAAATATGGTAGTTTCATAGTGTCATCTGATCAATAATTGTCATACTTAATGATTATGCAAGTACAGATCTATAATTTTATTATACTATTATTTTTGTTCTCATTTGAGGTTAATATTGCTTATAAACCTAGATATGTAAATAATAAATTTTATTATTTTACAAAAAGTTTGGCAACAATGTAAATTTTTCAACACACCCACCTTGATGACGTGCACGCCACTTTGTTTGGCGTTGACTATAGAAGACTGATGTTCTGTACTAAATTTGGGAATCTGTTTGAGCAGCGCTGAGAGAGAATGGGTGACTGAAGAAGTAAAATTTCCGCCTCAGTGTCTTGTGTGCTTCAGTGACGGATCCTTATCCAAGGAAACAGGATCCAGTGTGGCGGAAGTATATCTGGAAGGCAAAGGCGTGTAGGAAAGCTACCCACTTGGAACGTGCACAAGAATCTTTCAGGAGATATTTGCCATCTTGCGGCTGCTGTACAGTTGCCCGAGGGCGAAAACGATAACATTAACGGAAACCAGAGAAAAAACTTCAATTGCATGTTATCCGTACAAACATTTTGTTAATCCGATTTTTGAACTGGCGAAGGGAACGCTTTCTCTTGTAGATTGTTCCACAATCTCGGCACTCTCGGGAGAAAGAGAGCTAGATCGCCAAAGGTCCGCCGGTGCGAAAGGATCCCGGGACTGTCTATTAGAGAAGAGTCATTGGGAGACAAAATAATGTAGTCGGGGCGGCAGCACCCCATACGTGTGATCAATACTCGAGGCTAGGTCTTATCTAGGCCTTGTATAGAGTGAGAAGAACATGCGGAGAAAAGTACTTCTTATCCCTAAATATACTAGCTTTTTCAATGCAGCTGCCGCTATTGACGAGATGTGTTAGTTCTGGATCAAGTCCTCGGTGATCTAAACTCCGACTAGCCGAAATAGACGGCTCTTTGGCAGAACTCGGCCATCCATCGGAACCAGATGAGCTCTAGGACGCTTTTTGTTTGACCAAGTACAGTATTGTGTTTTGGAAGCATTAAAATGTTTAGCAAGATTGTTGCGTCCCCAAATAGTGATAACTTCCAGGTCTCTCGTCAGAGACGAAGTCACATCTAGTCTCAGCTCAGCCGCAGAGATCGGTTTGTCGCTTTGAATTCGTACATGTAGAGTGCAAAGCTGTGGATTGGGTTGATCATACAGAAAAGGAGATCGTTGATACGTAAGAAGAACAATGTCGGATCCAAGACCGATCCCTGGAGAACACCCGCGTAGACGTTGCGTTGGGATGAAGAGGAGTACCCGTCAATTACGACGGATATCTTGGGGCCAGAGAGAAAGTCAGCCACCCATCTGCAAAGTGATATCAAGAGCAATGCATAAGACTGGATGAGTTCACTCCACAATTGCGTGACGTAAGCTAGGAGGTCCCCTGTGGATCGCTAGTGCCGAAAACTATACTGCCTGAGGCTAATCAAGCAGGGACGTTCAAGGTGCTCCAGAAGCAAGCGATTTATGCACCTCCCTATCACCTTACTTTCAATCGAAAGCAGAGCTATAGGCCAGTGCTTGTAAGGGTCGGTTTTGGATCTTTTTTTTTTTTGGTGTGACAAACGGAAACGGGAACAGCAACGGGAACGAGAACGGAAACGTTGGCCAAGATTCAACCGTTCCGTTGCTTTCTCGGTGCCATTCAGAAAGCTTAGAATGCGCTCATTAAAGCCCGTCGTCTGTTTTTAGATGAGTAATATATTTCTAAATGCCCATTTCTCGTTCCTTTCTTTGGCCATTTTTCTGTCCATCCATCTATAAAATATACATAAAAGGGTACTATAAAAGTTTTGCAATACTACTTTATTTATGACTTCGTTCAAAGCTATTTTCACCACATTCAATACATTTCTTCATCCGCCAAAACCAGTCCTTAAACCAGCTCTGTCAAGTTTCACCTGGGAGTGCGGCACACTCGTTGTTCCAAGTCCTCGGAAGATCCTCATCGCTAGAAAACCGTTTTCCTTTTAGCTTCATTTTCACATGCGGAAACAGTAAAAAGTTGCAGAGAGCAAGATTTGGACTGTAAGGAGGGTGCTCAATAGGTTTCAGTCCAGTAGTGGTCAAATACTCGGTGCTGGCAGGTTGTTATGGTGGAGGTACCAAGTGTCAGGCTCTGGTCCGTATACCACTTAGCTGTGACTGTCTTCTCTGTGTATAAAACGACACGCTCCACAATGCCCCTTTTTTCTTAACAGATCGGGATTTTCTGATAGCTACGGGTGTCTCCTCATCATCAAAGACCCAAACCGTGTTTTGAGCCTTGGTCAACGTGTCGTAATAATAGAACCAAGTGTCGTCGCCTGTCACGATGCTGTTCACATATCGAGATTGCTTCTTATAAAACATTTTCAGCATCTTTCGGCACCAAGTCGTACGAAGAGTCTCCTGCTCTTCCATCAGACTATGCGGTATCCAGGGAGAACGAAGTTGCCTTATGCGTAAATGGTCATGCAGAGTTGAATGAACTTCTGAAGCATGAAGGTGTAAGGTCTCCTCTATCTGTTGATCTGCACTCTACGGTCTTCGTCAAGCATTTTCCTTACAATAGTAATGCTTTACTCTATTACTGACGTCACACAATGAAAGTGCCTCTTTGGAATTCACTGTACCACCTGAATATAGTCCGTACGATGAGGACAACGATTCTTTAATGCAAGCGTCTTTTCTTCTAAGTACTGGTTTATGCTTAAGCCATGCGTATAGCACTTTACACTGTCAATACAAATGAACAACTAAATCAACAGAAGTGCTACTGGCATCTACTATGTACTCATGAACATGTCTCAATATGCAGTAACATGCAGCCTCCTCCGTCCGTTTGTTAAGCCATATCGCACAACTTTGTAATTCCAGTTATTATGTGATTTATGATTTTTCAAATTGTGCCTATCTCCTAATTTCTTCTTATCTCATTAAATCAAGGACACACATTGCAAAAAAGTTAAGGACGCAGTGAAAAACGCATTTTTTGTTGAGTTTTTACGGCCAAAGGTTCCTGGCGCGTCGACAAACGTCGGTCGCACTGGCCATTGGACAGGGGTAGAGAATCGCCCAACCTTATGGTGGGGGTTCGTTCCACTTTCTGAGCTATTGCTCTGAATATTGCAGTCTAAAGGCTGAGATTATCCGGGGCCATGGAGTTTGATTGTGAAGTTGCTTATTATGTGGAATGATCGGGGAATGTTCCTTTATTTAGAGATCAGGAAGGTTATAAAGATCAGTGAACTAACATGTTGAGTAGAGTGTTGGTACACTCGGTCAAAGGTGGCCTAAATTCCTGGCTCTGCCACCACCGCTACTACTGGACAACGCATTAAATAAATATGGCTTTTTATGATATTTGCAAGACATATGGTGAAGACGCAATGGTGAAAATAACGATCTGGGCGAGAGAAAACGATAATTCAGCACATAAAACTAACCACAAACAATTTTTGTTACAATATGGACATTGTCCATTGCACCTTTGCATTGACACATTGCTTGGCTTATAAGAACTGTTTCTTTATGTTTTGACGCACGTCTGAGCAAGTGATAGCAAAACACTCACTCACTGAGTCACTGACACGTTTCGCTGCAAACAGCGATTAGATGTCGGCAAAGTGGAGTAAGAGTAAGTGAAGATTTTTTCTCGGATAGGTGGTTAACCCAGTTATCTCGAGCCAGTGCGTGGGAAATGTACTGGCGATATTGTAATCGCTCTGTTATATCGTATTACATAGCTTTCAAGTGCTATTTGCGAGACATGCTAGAAGGTGAAGCGGATTAGCGTACTAACTCTTGCTGAGAGCGCATATTTAGATGATACTATGAATTTGTAGGAGATGATTCTCACTTAAAATATTTCTAATGCATTTAATCCAAGATATCTAGAAAGGCACTGTTAGACGTTCTTTAGGCTATACAAAACGGTGTCAGGAGGCAGACTCAAGGATGATACATTTGTATTATTTTGGCGGAAGTCTGGATTATTTTGTTTCACACTCTGTATACAACAGTACCAATTGAGCAACTAAGGAAACCTTAGCTCAGTGTTGTATCTTGTACGTACGAGGTAACAAAAATATGTCAATTTTTATATAATTTCAAAAATCTCATACGGCGTTTTAGTATACTATCACCTTCAAATTCAGTTTTAATTTAACGTCTACAAAAAAATCAGAATTTATGTAGTAGATTGATTTTCAATTTAAGAAACTTTTAATTTTCAATTTAAGCAAATATAATTTCCTTTCTCGAACACCTGGATTGGGTTGACTATTCCAAAGTTGTACAAATTTCATTTATTATGCTATCCTCACCACCTTTTACATACATCGGTTCCTAACTTTTGAAAAAGAAATTGAGATCTCGTGAGTATATTCACTCATGAAATATGTATACTAAGTGACATATAAATCCGAACACCCAGTTTAAATGGTTTTATTTTAATAAAAGTTGGTGAATGTACTTATCTTACTGTAAATAACAAGTGCAAAAATGTTCAGCCTTATCAGTTGGATATTCCGGTTTTTATACTGTTTTTTTTTAATTCACTAACGCTCTAAAAATGAATATTTCAGCCGCCGTAAAGAATCAACGTTGGCGGATTTTGGTTCTTGACATCCATTACGATCGGTTACGATGCCTAGAGTACGGAGACCTGTACTATTTCGTCAACCTAGTGAGTTTGATAGGGGCCGTATAGTGGGACTTCGGGAAGCTGGACCTTCTTTTCGGGCAATTGCAGTTAGAGTGCAAAGAAGTGTAGACACTGTGGTTAGGTGTTGTCAGGCATGGCTTCGAGGAGGCCGTACGCAAAGAGCAAGGGGCACTGGATGCCGCCGTAGAACAACAGACCGTGAAGATCGCCGCCTAAGATTATTGGCCTTAAGGGACCGTTTCTCCACTACCAGGTCCATTGCAAATGAATGGTTTGCAGAACACGGAAGACCTATTGGCATGCGAAGTGTTTACCGACGAATGAGAAGTTTTGCTTGTTTTCATACCGGCCACACTGGGTCCTCCCTTTAACTCGAGAACACCGGCGTAATGGCCTTGAGTGGTGCAGACAACGGTCACTCTGGGATCAGGAATGGAACAGTATTGTCTTTAGTGACGAGTCTCGATTTTGTTTAGGCATGCACGATGGTCGTGCCAGGGTTAGAAGGCGACGTGGTGAAAGGAGGAATCCACAGTTTTTTGTTGAAAGACATGTTCATCACACTGTTGAAGTTATGGTTTGGGGTGCTATAGCTTATGGTTCCAGGTCACCTTTAATCTTCATCAGAGGTAACATGAACGCGCAGCGTTATATCCACGAAGTTTTAGAACCCCATCTTTTACCCTATCTTGATACCCTGGCAGATCCAACTTTCCAACAAGATAATGCCCGACCACATGTTGCAAGAGTCACAATAGACTTCTTTCAACATAATGATGTCACATTGTTAGCATGGCCACCAAGATCTCCCGACTTATCCCCAATTGAGCACGTGTGGGATATGATGGGTAGGAGATTGCTCAATTTGCAACGTCCTCCTCAGGCTGTAGAAGCACTTCGAGAGGAGTTGGTGGTTGCCTGGAATGAGATACCACAGGAGGACATTGACCACCTGATCAGAAGCATGCCTAGGCGCGTTGGAGAATGCGTAGCACATCAGGGTGCATCCACACATTATTAAAGGTCAAAGGGCTTTAAAGCAGTGCAATCATTTTGAAATTTTTATCATTTACTTATTATGCTTCATTAAGTACTTATACAAAATTTTATTAAAATAAAACCATTTTAACTGGGTGTTTATATGTGTCACTTAGTATATTTCACTTCAACTATGCCTCTTCGCAAAATTTCAACATCATTTCATAAATGCCTTACCTTCAATGCGAAACACGTAAAATGCATTACCATCGACTGCTAAATATCTTGATTTTAATAATTTCGAAAAGCATATTAAACGAATTAATTCTGAAATCTGAATTAACTCTCAGTATACTGGATGTCCAAGATAAGGATCCTATGTATGGCGATCTCAATACCTGTGGAGGAGCTTAGGTTAAATTAGGAAAAAGCTGGGCTTTCCGGGGCGTATTTATATGTCGTTGAGAAACTGGTAAAAATTTCATGGGATGAGATATTTGGGAAAAACTAAAATTTGGCGAAATCGTTTTTATTTTTTTTCTGACTTTATTTAGCGATATATCAAAAAACTAATGGACGCTTGTTTTTAAATTATGTGCCCGACGTCCCGTTTTTATGAAACCATCATCAACTTTATTTTTTTTGTATGCCCAAGGCAGCAGCGGTGGCCGCAGTAGTAGACTCTTCGGTTTCCTGACCAGTCGCCGTGCGCTGTGCGGGTTCGATTCCCGTCCCAGGAGAAATTTTTCTCTTCGCTATGGATGTTGTGATTGTCCGTAGGTGGTAGACGGTCTCTGACTGTCGAACGCGGAGGTACCACCCGGCGGATCTCGTAGGTGGAGCCAGAATGTGTGCATGCACACGTGTTCCCTCGCCAGAGTCCTTGTGGCGTTCCCCCTTTCCCATGTATCCCCCTATGGCCCCACGGTTTCCAATGGGTGCTTAGGCCTTAGGCCTTCGTGGTACTTGGAGTATAAAACAAAAGAAAGTGAACCCTATATCTGATAGAATCTTTTTATAGTAAATATTTCAAAGATATGTCGCATGTGACATTTGTTTTCTTAGTTATAAGTAAAAATGTGTCAGATAGATATTTACCTGTATAAATTCAAGCTTTGCCAACGACCTAGTCAGACAAAAATAAAAATGTTTTGGTCAAATTTTATTTTTTCCCAAAAATATCTTAATCTTTTACTTTAACCTAAGCTGTATCTCTCGCAGGTTGACATCCCCATGCATAGGATCCTTATCTTGAACACCCTGTATAGATCATCCATATTTCTTCATATATCTGCATGTCATGTAAATCCTTAGTAGTATTTTTTCAAAATTGTAGACACATGAATATGCTGTAGGCGATTTGTGATTTTCTTCCAATTTTTGAAGAATATTCTGTTCAAATTGGTTTAAATATTGTAGTGCTAGTTTTTCAACGGTTAATAGGTTGTGGCTAGATTTGGCCCTTAGTAAGTCATTTTATTATCACCATAATATAAATAAATTTGTACTGAAGTTTCTATCCAATTTTGAGGGCTGGTCTAGCTACCATGAAGTAGGTAGGTAAACAAATCATGGAATTTTGTTATCATGTTATCCACGAACGTCATATTGCTTCAATAATTAAGCTCATCTTCAAAATTTACAAGAATGAGATTGTGAATTTGTTCTGAGATCAAGATGTTATCCAAGCAACCATTTAGAGGGCAATAAGAGACTATGAAGAATATACCTTACCCTAATTTGCCGAAAACTGTAAGAAATCTTGTTTTATCACAAAATAGGTTAATAGACTTGTAGAAAGGCTCAAGATATATTTGTAATATCTAATCGAAAGCTTTGTCTAGAAATGACGTGCATCTTCATAAAAGAAGAAAGTATCTCAAATATATTCAGGCACAACTTGAAAGAGTACCTGGATGTTGCAGAACTCTGAGGCGTAGGCAGGTTGTGAGAACCTGCTGCACATACAGAAATGGAAGGCAACGATGGACTTTACACCTCCGATATTGAAAATGTCCAAGTGAACTAAAATTCAAAGCAAAGGCAAAACTTACCGATAAAGTTCTAGTTAGGGATTAAAATCCAATATCAGTTTTGTAGACTCGTTTACATATTATCAATTTGTATAATTAAGTATTAATATTAGGATTTTAATTAAATCGCTTTATTTCATTGTAAGATTTGTTCCCGATACTTATGACCCATACGAATGACACTCGCCTAAAAGAGGTGGGCCCCGACGTTACCTCTTGAGTGCCTGTGTTACAGTAAATGTTGATTTGCTGGTACTTGAATCCATGTAATCCAATGCCATAATATGCTATCCACGTAATGATAGGTTCACAATTTGAAAGTACCTTCAAAGTGTGGGAAGCTCAGAGTCAAACTACTCGACCCCGTTTTTGCGCATTCATCCATCTCGCCCAGCATGCGGCAGTCCTACTTCAGTGACCATCGTAGCCCATAGCCGCTGGTACAAGAGAACCATCTGAATAAATAACGAGTAAGAGGCGATGCTGCAGGCGGACTAGGTCCAAAAAGCACCGTACTCGGATGTTTTCTCAAGTTACTGAGATTTATATTGGGGGCGCTTCATCATATCATATTGAACAAGAACATCGACATGTAACGATTGATTAACGTATTCTACCTGGACGTAGCCAGCCATTTATTATATTCCTGTGTCCAAATATTGATCTGAATGGTAGTAGCGCCATCTATGAACTAGTATCAGAATACAGAAATTAAAGACATCTATTTTCAGAAGAGTTGTACTGCTTGGTTTTGCTACTGTCGCATAAATGTCACTAGGGTATTTAATCCCTTTTTGGCGCCTATCTAATGCCTATTTTAATTGGGTATCTTCGAGCATTGGCTAGTGTATTCCACCCGATGATACGCGGTAAAAAAACGCATTATAGACGCTCCGAGAAGTACATCAAAATATTCCTCGTGGGTTTATGTCTTGTCTATCTCATATTCAAAACTGGGATAAATAGCGAGATCGGAAGGCATGCCTTATGGTCATGGGCCATAGGTATTCTTCAGATCGAGGGGATGGAGATTTCTCCGAACGTCTTCATAAATTACTAGAGCTTATTTCGGGGCTTGGTGTCGAGGGTGGACGATCGTGCTTGTCTCTGGATGTTGGCTCTGTATCTGACCCATTCAATAGGAATGGGGAATCGCGAACTCATTTGACTCCATTATGAAGTGACTAAAATGAGGTTACCACACTATCGCTGTACGCATGTAGATGAAAATCTGACCATCGCCACCTTCCAATAGTTTTGCCAAGCTGATTTGCAGCATCATCTCGTACGACGAAAGCGATATAGAGACTTATATTATACGTTATAGGTCAAGAACCCGAGGCGTCAGCAAGACGACACCGCCAGTCGCAACGACAGCAGAAACCTTTATTAAAACTATTTTTCTTTTTATATTTTAATTCATTATCATTCCAACTTGTAACACGTTCATGTCTACAAAATAAATATTTTTTAAAAACTCCTTGTTGTGGCTGAGAAACATAATTGGCGCTGCGAACAGGATATCTGCACGGCATCCACCCAAGAAGGATCATCGGTTCGTCTTAACGATTTGGCAGATTTCTACCTGGGGTCACGAAGAAACACCGAGAAATTGGAGGACCATACTGGCGATGAAAATCAGTGCGATTCTTCTCATCCTGTAAGTCCATTTCCTTTTCATATGAGTTCTGAGTACCCTCAAGATTCATTTCAAGCTATAGTTAATTTTTCACACAAGTCGCAAAACAAATCTAGATTTCAACCCTACAGTAAACATTCAAAGAGGTCAGAAGACGATATTGTTGATAACCCATCTAATACTTTCGAACAATCTACAAAAATGGTTATATCTAACTCTGATGTTAATAACTTGTGTAATACTCTTCCTGAATTTAAAGTTGGAGATAATCTTTCTACATTTATAAGCTCTGTAGATAATTTAATCACATTTTTCAACCAACAAGGAGCTGATGCAGTACAATTGTATATTATTAATGCACATATTTTATCCAAAGTAAAAGGTGAAGCTCGAGATTTTCTGAACATTCATAATAAAAATTCGTGGCCAGATATTAAACCACTTTTATTACAAAAATACGGTGACCACCGTAATGAAGAAATTTTGTTAACTCAATTAACTACAACTGTTCAGAAACGCTCAGAGACTTACCAAGATTATCATCATCGTATAACCTTGGCACTGAATGACCTTTTACAACATGTTTTATTAAGTGAAAGTAATGCCCAGGCAGTAGAGTTCAAGGCTTCATTTTTCCGGAAACAAGCTCTAAGAACTTTCTGCACAGGCATCAACAACCCTTATTGTGACCATCTTTCTCATTTCGAATTGAATACTTTAGATGATGCTCTCCAAAAGTGTATCTCTCTTGACAATCACAGACAGCAACAACAATACATGTCTTACTTGAAATCCACGAATCACCCCCGCGATTACCAAAAACCTCAACCTCGTCCCAATCCAAACAACTTCAATACTTCGAACAAACCCAATAATCCCAATAACCAATACCATCGTAATTTTAATCAGCCCAATTCGTCTAATCAATCTTTCAACCAAAATTCTATGCACCCTAGACCTTTTGGCGATATAAATAAGCCCATCCAACAGAGACAATCTTTTCCGACAAATCGTCAAGTCTTTGGTCCATCGTCTAGGCCTAATAATTCACAAGACCAACGAAACCAATATAAACCAACTCCCATGTCTGGTATTCATTCCCAGAGATCTTCAAATTCCAAACCTACCCCAATGTCTATGTCCTCTTACCGCACGTTCCATCATAATGTTGAATGTGAACCCGAATTTTCTAGAACCAGCCTCAATGGAACCCGCACCCAACATAGAATCATTCAGTTGAATAATTTTTCCAAAGCAACGAAACTTCCTTACTTCTACCTTCCACATTCCAAATTAAAAGTTCTCATCGACTCCGGTGGCTCTGATACAGTAATTACTCCCAGAGCTGCTCAAAATTTCGACTCGAAATATGAATTCTATGAACCTTTTACCCTCATATCGATGAAAACCCCAAAAACATATACACGCAATCTTTACTACCCTTTGTTCGAAGAAATTGGTATACAGCAAGCCCTTACAATTAGAATTGCCGACTGGCATGACGATTTCGATGTACTTTTAGGTACAGGTGAACTCGATCAACTAGGAGCCAATATTGATTACGAAACACATGTATTTTCTATTCCAAAATTACAGATCTCTATTCCATTTAAGATAATTTACCGTAGTAATAAACGACTACGTATTCCGGTCTCCATTAACAATGGCGAAGTTGTCATTTCTGATATTATACATGAAAATCAAGTAATAGTTCCAGCATCAATTCATGTAGCTGAAGACGGATTCATAGAAATTCCACGTCCCAACAATGTTGAAATCAACTTCTCACAACCAATCTCCGCCACATCCATTTCAGATTTCGAAGAAATCACTCCCCCATCGTCTGGCGACAATTATTTTGATCTTAATTTGTTACGGACAGACCATTTGAATGCAGAAGAGAAAGAAAAGATCCTCCATCTTTGTCATCGATTTAAAGATATTTTTCATACAGAAAATTCTCCTTTAACCGTTACTACTTCTGTAAAACATGTTATTCGAACTAAAGATGAAACACCAATCTTCACCCGCTCTTATCGACACCCAAAATCAATGCTACCTGAAATTTCCGACCAAATCAATAAATTACTACAGAACAATGTCATCCGCCCTTCTATAAGTCCCTACTCAGCCCCTGTATGGATAGTTGCGAAAAAACTTGACGCAAGTGGTAAAAGAAAATTCCGTATGGTCATCGACTATAGACGTCTTAACGAAAACACAATCGAAGATAAATACCCTCTTCCCCGCATTGACGAAATTCTTGACAACCTAGGACGCTGTTCATACTTTACCACCCTTGATTTGGCACAGGGTTTCCACCAAATCGAAGTCCACCCAGATTCTATAGAAAAGACAGCTTTCACAGTTCCTAACGGTCATTTCGAGTACCTTAGAATGCCTTTCGGATTACGAAATGCACCAGCCACTTTCGAGAGAATGATGGATGAAATCCTAAGAGAATTCTTATACAAATCTTGTTTTGTCTATATGGACGACGTCATCATATTTTCCAAATCCCTCCAGGAACATTTAATTCATATTAAACAGATTTTCCAAAAATTCCGAGAAGTTAACCTCAAGATTCAGCCCGATAAATCCGAATTCTTGAGTAAGTCAGTAGCGTTTCTAGGCCACGTCATAACACCTGAAGGCATAAAACCAAATCCTTCAAAAATTTCAGCCATTGAAAACTTTCCTATACCCAAGACGGTGAAAGAAATCAAAAGCTTTCTTGGTCTGGTAGGATACTACCGACGTTTCATTCCGAACTTTTCCAAAATCACATACCCCATGACACGCTGCACTAGAAAAGGTACTAAAATCGATATCGAAGATCCCAGATATATTGAATCTTTCGAGAAATGTAAATCCGCTCTCAGTAACTCCCCTATTCTCCAATACCCTGATTTTTCCCTACCATTTACCCTCACTACAGACGCTTCAAACATAGCGATCGGTTCTGTCCTTACACAGAAAGGAAATCCGATAGCCTATTATTCTCGCACCCTAAATTCAGCAGAGAAAAATTATTCTACAATCGAAAAAGAACTTCTTGCCATACTCGATTCCTGCAAAGTATTCCGCCCCTATGTATATGGTGTAAAATTTACTGTGGAAACAGATCACAACCCCTTAGTCTGGTTATACAAAATTAAGGAACCCAATTCTCGTCTTGTCCGATGGAAACTCAAACTTGAGGAGTACAATTTCGAAATTAAATACAAGAAAGGAAAGGAAAACGTCGTCGCCGATGCTTTAAGTCGCATCGAAATAAATATGCACGAATCCGAGTCTCTGTGTGCCAACCCTCCAGATGATGATGACGACTTTGATGTAGATGACTTCGTTAACCAATCTTTCGAAAAAGAAACTGGTCAATCAACCCAACATTCTTCTCATGAAAATCCCGTTGCTCTCGTCCCATTCTCAGAAGAACCTATTAATCATTTTTCAAATCAGATCATAATAAATCTAGGCACCGATTTTAACACCAAATACCGTCTGAAGTTCAAGTCCAAACACGAATATCTCATCACTCTTTCCGAAAAAGACTGGAAAACCGACATCAAGACTGCTCTCCATCAAACTATAGCCCCCAATCAACGATACTACATTCTGACTGACAATCCCGATATCCAAAAATATATTTCCGACTTCGTCCGTAATACTTATAACCAAAACATCCAAATATTCTTCTGCACCAAACGAGTTCAAGATGTAGAGAGACCCGAAGACCAATTACGACATCTCCAAAATTACCATAAGGAAAATCACAATGGTATTCTCGAAACACTTAGTCATTTAAAATTACACTATTACTGGCCTAATATGCGTTCTACAATTTCAGAGCATATTAACCACTGCGATATTTGTCTTCGTAATAAATACGAGAGACACCCATATAAATTACCCCTAAAAGGTCCACTTCTAGGACAAAAGCCTTTCGACATCCTTCATATTGACACATTTTCCTGTAATCGAGAAACTTTCCTCACAATCATCGACTCTTTTTCCAAGTATGCCCAAGTGTACAGTATACCTGACAGAATGAATACCACAATCCTTAGCAAATTACGTCACTATTTCTCCCACCATAATTATCCTCGAAAAATAGTCTGCGACGAAGGTACCGAATTTACAAATAACCTCTTCAAAGAATTTTTAAATCTTCACAAAATCGAGCTACACTTTACGACAGTGAACAACCCGAATTCCAATAGTCCTATCGAAAGATTTCACTCTACTTTTACAGAAAAGCTCCGTGTTATGCACGACGAACGCCCCAAAGAATATTTTACTGATCTCGTTACACATTGTGTTTTAATTTACAATCAGTCCATCCATTCCGCCACAGGTTATTCACCTTTTTCTATCTTATATGGCCCATATGCAGAAGAAATACTTTTTGACAATGACTTACCTATCTACGAAAAATATAACCAACGACATAAAGACGAACTTCGACCTTTCATTGACTCTCTTTATCGAAAACTCCACGATAAAGAAACAGCAATTTTAAATAAACGCAATGAAAGACTACCCGAGATCACTCCTGCTCCAGCACCTGGCCAAACCATATATATTCAGAAAAATCCCCGAAATAAATTATCTGCACCTTACGTATCAGCCGAAACTACTTCTAGTAGCAATACCAAAATTCAGGCCGTTACTTCCAAAAATAGACCCACCAATACCCATCCTAGAAAAATCAAACGTCTAAGGAAAATACCCTTGTTACAGGATCGTCATCCTGACGAACCACAACCTGGCCCTTCAAGTGCACCTGATCCCGAATAATGGATACTATCGTGAACTGATAGGCCATGCTCAAGAGTTAAATCACTATCACCGACATATTATTACTGTTAACCTAACTGCTATCGACGCAACGCTTAAAATGACTCTAACTAACTTCCTATTCCTTAACAAGACTCTCACTACTTCCAACTACCGAATATTTGAACAATATAACCATCTCTATTCCGAGACACTTGACAATTTTCATAAAATAATCCGACCCCGTCAAAGGCGAGGAATTGCTAACTTTTTGGGAACTTTTATTAAATCAGTGACTGGCAACCTTGACGAAAACGATCGTATATTTTTGGAAAGGCACATCTTCAGTATCGAAAATAAACAAAATCGTATAATCAATGTGCTTAATAATTCGACAAGTTATGCATCAGAAACAATAAAAAGATATAATATTCTGATTGAAACCATAAATAATAATACAGTGAGAATCACACAAGATATTAATTTTCTTAGAGATGAATTCCAGCAGTTTATTACTCTTCAAAGCGAAATTCGTAATATTGATCGTTTGAATCAATTCATTTTAAAGCTTATTAGAAGTATAAACCTATCTGCACTAGAACAACCGAACATAGAATTATTTTCACTTTCCGAAATCACTGACTTAGAAGAAAAGCTAAAATCTTTATATAAATCAAATTCTCTTTTATCAGATAATTCACATCCCTTTGAACTTATCGAAAATTCACGTTGTTCATTAATTACCACAAATACTCAGTTACTCATCCTTTTCAAAATCCCGATCCTTAACGATCACTCTTTCCGACTTTACCATATTTATCCCATACATAATGAAGAAAACATTGTACTACTGCCTCCTGCAACTTTCTATGGAGATAATCGCTGGTATTCTACATGCACCGATGTAGGACCAAAAATCGTATGTCAACCCGCTTCCACCACAAGATGTCAGCTTCCCAGCTTAGAAAATTGTACCACTGCCAAGCTTTCCCAGCCTGTCATCCACCAAACAAAGAAAAACCTGATCGTCAGTACAAATGAGCCAATCCAAATCGTTGAAAGATGTTCCCAGACTCACCGAAATATTAGTCAAGCAGCAATTGTTTATTCTTCATGCCCAATCGAAATTAATGGACAGATTTACAGCACTACTTCAGAGCAAATCGAAGTTCCTGATATCATCCCTATAAAGATCCGCCCAAAGTTTAACTTACAGATCAACGAGTTGCAGCCACTCAAAGATGTACCACAGCTATCGGCCATACAGCCCTTACATCTAAGCCCTACAGTGACGTCTACAACAACTTGGTCCATGGCAACCCTAATGCTCATCATCGTCACAGCGAGCATTTACTTCGTCTTAAGAAAAAGAAGAAGACTCCAGACGCTTTTCTTCAAGCCGAAAATTTCCATTGCCGACTTGGAAAACCTAAAACTTCAAAAGTCCGAGGACGGACTTTCAGCTTAGCGAGGGAGGCGTTATAGGTCAAGAACCCGAGGCGTCAGCAAGACGACACCGCCAGTCGCAACGACAGCAGAAACCTTTATTAAAACTATTTTTCTTTTTATATTTTAATTCATTATCATTCCAACTTGTAACACGTTCATGTCTACAAAATAAATATTTTTTAAAAACTCCTTGTTGTGGCTGAGAAACATAATTCGCGCGACGTTCTACTTTAGGCGCACTATCATGATCAGCATTCCAAGTGGTGCAAATACCAAATTCCCAGAGAAAGCAAGCAATGGATTTTCTATGCGTATATGCATAATAGGGACAGCTGAAAATGACATATTTGCTCTCCGCCTCCTGTAACCATGACGTGTGTATTATACATAGAACAGCCATTGCTGCTCTCCTCTGTGAATACCTAGTATTAAGACAACTTGACATGTTGACTGTGATGGTGCGTAAAACTTCGAGCAGTATGAGCTTCAGCGCCTTCTGGTCCATGCACATGGCCAGTTTCGTCCCATCTCCCCTGCCATCTGACAAAAAGCACCTCTCTTTCGCCGTTTGTAGCTTCGACGACCTTTTAACAGAGCGCACATCTCTCCGCAACCAGCAAATCAATTGGCGGGATACCAGCTACCACCGCAGTGCATCGGTCGATATCGTGTAAGCGCATACCAAGCTCAGCACTACTTTTCGCTGGCTTCTCAAAATTAGCTGTCCATATTTCTTTTTCCTCAAGGTTTTGTTATACAGGGTGGCGCATCGAAAACGAAACAGACGCATTTACTGGCAGCTCAGTTCTTTTTTTTTTGGAAAAACGTCAGACCCGTCGATTTTGTTTTCGAGGGGGACACAAGTTTGGCAAAAAATCACGTTAACACGTGCAGCCCCCTGGGCGGGGGTGACACCAACCCTAAAATCTTAAATGGAAAGGGAGGTCGAGTGATACCTTATTTTAAAAGTCTTTCAATTCCCTTTATAATGATGTAAAATACATGAGCTTCAGTTCAGTAGTTTTGAAGATTTATTGATTTAAAGCTTAAAGTAGACTTTAATCGGTACATCAGATTAGTTAGTACTACTTTCAGAAGAAATTTGACTAAAAGAATTTACTTAATAAGTAAATGCTTTTCTTCACTACGCCCATGGTTTGTTTATCATTTTGTTGTTGAAAATAGCTATTGGAGCGTTTTTTTGTGGAAAAAAATTTATTTCTTGATATATCTCGTACTTATTTTAAATAGGAATTTAGTACATAGTTTGCGATTGATTTGACCAAACTTTGTTGCTAAAATAACTTGTAACGCTTTATTACATAAATTAACCATGGTATATTCCACAGCAGAAAGAGTTGAAATTATCGAAATATTTTTCGGAAATAATCAGCGCGCTAGTAGAACAGCAGAAATATTTAATGAGCGACATGAGAACAGTAACATGCATCGAAAATATGTTCTAGAACTTGAGCTAAATTTCGGGAAGCTGGGTCAGTCGCCAATAAAAAACGCAATATTGAAAATCCTATAAGGAACGAAGCAATAGAAGTGGGGGTTTTAGGGCAAGTTTATGTAGATCCTACGTTAAGTACCCGCAAATTGGAGACTGTGTGTGGTGTTAGTCGACGTACTGTCCAACGGATTCTAAAGGCCCATAGTTTTCATCCGTATAAAATTCACCTGGTACAAGAACTTAATGAAGACGATTTTGATCGGCGATTACAATTTTGTGAAGATATGAGTGAACGAATTATAAACGACGAACGTTTTCTATTCAACACTTGCTTTTCCGACGAATGTTCCTTTTTCTTAAATGGCGTAGTAAATCGTCATAACTGCAGATATTGGTCCGATTCTAATCCCAGAATTTATCATGAGGTTCATACACCGCAGCCACAAAAATTAAATGTTTAGGCTGGTATTTTTGGCGATCATTTAGTTGGCCCTTTTTTCTTACCTGAAAATTTGACCGGTGAAATGTATTTGTAATTACTGGAAGACGCCATAGATCCTGCATTAATAGCTATAATTGAAAATCAGAATGATCGACGGTACATCGCGAATAGGTTGATGTTCCAACAGGATGGTGCCCCACCACATTACGCATTACGTGTTCGACAATATTTAGATCAGACGTTTCCAGATCGATGGATTTGTAGACGAGGTGCCATTGAATGGCCCTCAAGATCGCCAGATCTATCACCTTTGGATTTCTTTATGTGGAGTCATTTAAAAAGCAAAATCTATGCTACTCAGCCAACATCATTAGAAGACCTGCGACAAAGAATTGTGAATGAGTGCCTTCAAGTTACTCCTCAAGTATTGCAAAATGTGTGGCAACGTTTTGATAAAAATCTTTATTGCTACATAGAGAGTCATGGTGGCCATTTTCAACATTTACTTGCCTAACGGGACAGTTCATTCTTCATCTTTAAATTACTTTGCTGCCAAATGTATTGATCTCCACTAATGATGAGGTATTAGTTTTATTTAAGCTTTAAATCAATAAATCTTCAAATCTACAGAACTGAAGTACATAAATTTTATATCATCATAAAGGGAATTGAAAGACCTTTAAAATAAGGTATCACTAGACCCCCCTTTTCATTTAAGATTTTGGGGTGGTGTCACCCCCGCTTAGGGGCCTCGTGATTTTTTAACAAACTTGTGTCCCCCTCGAAAACAAAATCGACGGGACTAAGCATTTAAAAAAAATACTGAGCTGCCAGAAAATGCGTCTGTTTTGCCCTGCCTGGCTTTAGCCGTATCTGACGACCTTGAGACATCGCTATGGCATCCCGTTCAGAGAGGGCTCTAGCGTACTGATTTTGGCCTCCATCGCGACTAATTGTCATGGCAAGTATTAGGTACAGATGAAGAATTGCCTATCATTTATGTCGTAAACTTTGACTGGTCTATGAGCCTGAGAGGCTCACAATCACCGGAGGCAAGCTGCGGCACGACGCGGCTGCAGTCCAACACTGCGGACGACTTCGTGACATAACGGGTCTTCGTGAGAAACGTCAGTCTCTCGAGAAATCATACTCTCAGCCGCCGACACGCCGATGGCCGATGAATATTATACAAATAGCGGGTTCGAAAGGTTAATTAAGAGCGTCCCCTTTCGATGCAAGCTGGACCGAATGCAGCTGAAACGTTCTCAGGAGCATTTCCTTCTTTGTCAATCTTATTTCGCATCAGTCGAAACTTTTCCTTCTGGCTTCTGGTAACAACGTATTTTGAGGGGGTAATTTCAAATTCACCATTTGGGCCCAATCCAAAAATCTTTTCTATGTTCGCCCTAGCCCTTTCCTACCCTAAGCTTCCCACCACGGATTTATCAAAAACCACTAAACCATTAAAAGAAAAAGCGGCGAGACATGTCAAAAGATTTGTCAAAGGGGACAACCTTTTAACCTAAAACTACTTTCTTTTCATTTTAAATAAAAAAACACTCCTCGACCCGCAAAAAAGTAAACAGCATTTGAAGCAAAATTCGTCAAATAATTTTAATGACATTGGCAGAAGGAATACGCATGTGAAAAATCAGTTCAAAAAATGGTCCCGGCAGTAAAGCAAGAACTGCTTGAACGATTCTCGAACCATCCTAGAACTGAACCAGAATAAAACGCGAACACCAAATTTCAGTTCTAAAACTGTTCGATAGTAATCCACCAGGAACCCGAACACGTCGGTTTCTTCTGCGCATGCTCCTGATAGTTCTAGTACAGTAATGATAAGATCCGGAAGAAACCTATCGTTAATTCAGTTTATAGTTATTTAGTGTGTTGAATACCTCCCTTGTTACTGGCCGTCCACCTTGTTCCGCAGTCACAACCACCGAACACACACCAGAATTGGTGATACCCACGTGAATCCTAGCGCCGTTGGAGTCTAGATGTCTAGGATTGGCTGTTGATGGCTTGGCAACGACGGATTTAAGAGCTGAGTAACTTTGGGATGCTAGGACGTAGAGTTTGGTGTGCGATATAAAAATTTCCAAAATGACGGATTTTATTGGAAGATGTTAGTTTGAATGACTTGATGGACTGTGATATACCCTTTATACACGGTGGCTCATCGAAAACGAAACAGACGCATTTACTGGCAGCTCAGTTTTTTTTCAAAATCTTAAATGGAAAGGGGGGTCGAGTGATACCTTATTTTAATAGTCTTTCAGTTCCCTTTATAATGATGTAAAATACATGAGCTTCAGTTCAGTAGTTTTGAAGATTTATTGATTTAAAGCTTAAAGTAGACTTTAATAGGTACAGCAGATTAGTTTGTACTAGTTTCAGAAGAAATTTGACTAACAGAATTTACTTAATAAGTAAATGCTTTTCTTCACTACGCCCATGGTTTGTTTATCATTTTGTTGTTGAAAATGCCTATTGGAGCGTTTTTCTTTGTGGCAAAAAAGTTATTGCTTGAAGAAAGATAAGGAAATATCTCGTACTTATTTTAAATAGGAATTAAGTACATAGTTTGCGATTGATTTGACAAAACTTCGTTGCTAAAATAACGCTTTGTTACATAAATTAACCATGGTATATTCCACAGCAGAAAGAGTTGAAATTATCGAAATATTTTTCGGAAATAATCACATTTACTTGCCTAAAGGGTCATCAGTTCATTCTTCATTTTTAAATTACTTTGCTGCCAAATGTATTGATCTCCACTAATGATGATGTATTAGTTTTATTTAAGCTTTAAATCAATAAATCTTTAAAACTACTGAACTGAAGTACATTAATTTTATATCATTATAAAGGGAATTGAAAGACCTTTAAAGTAAGGTATCACTCGACCCCCCTTTTCATTTAAGATTTTGGGGATAGTGTCACCCCCGCTTAGGGGGCTGCACGTGCTAACGTGATTTTTTGCCAAACTTGTGTCCCCCTCGAAAACAAAATCGACGGGTCGGAGCGTTTTTCCAAAAAAAAAACTGAGCTGCCAGTAAATGCGTCTGTTGCGTTTTCGATGGCCACTCTGTATTTGTTCAACAGGCCGAGTGACACTGCGACCAAGATTTTGTAAAATTAAATGAATTAATTAAATTGATGGGTTTTGATATTTGAGGTGTCCTCAGATTCGCTCATAATAATTCATTATTTTCAGTACTGCAGTATGGCTTCTTGCATTTTTTTAAAAATGTAACTATGTTAATTTAACTGTAGCAAAAATATCTGGAGTATTATAATGGGGTGTCATTTAAAAAAGGCTGATGGAGCAATTGCGCTTTGGACCACTTGATTCGCTTATATTTTTTGTCGTATAATTAGTTGAATCGAGATAGCTCATCCATAATATTCCTAATTAGGTTTTTTATGTTGCAGGTTAATGGTGTAACTGACTCGAGGAATAACGTAAACACGGAACGTTTCGCCAAGGTAGGTGTTATTAGGTGAAGGTTACTGACACGAAACTATCAAATCATTTATGGTTGCTTTACAGAAAACGTGATCGCTGAAAGTTTAATGGCTAATTTAATTTTATTAGAAGGTATTATGTGAGAGAAATTCAGGTAATTAATTTTAACACAAAAAACTACAAGGAGTTTCTCAGGTCAGCGTACTTCTGGTAGCGATATTGAAGAAACCATTTTTTAAGTGCATAATGTGCTAGAAAAGTATAAGGATTGGATACATTTTTGAATTTGAAATAGTATTTTTGGATGGTTAATGTCTTTATGGCCAACATGTTTTTTTAATATCGGCTGTCGGTCTTTTTGTCGCTATTTCCCAACTAACAATTATCACTCCTATTAGAGTTGCAAGAATGATTATACAGTATTCCTTACACAGCATTGTATACTGTAAGAACATTGGCAAAACCCTCTTAGAACAGCTATACAAGCGGAATGGGCACACCTAATAGCACACTTCAGTCATTTAAGAGGTTGTATAAGGGCTGCAGGTTACAGTTATACAATAAAACATTTGCGTCAGTGCAAGATTCAGTTTTTGTCAACTATACAACTATTCTGTTACGTGATTCTACTTTATTGCAACCAAACTGTTTCTTATGTATTTCATAGACGAAGTGAAGAATATATAACTAACACATTACAGTCATCTTGTTTACTTAAATATCGGCCATTGTGAATTTCATACACAGGTACATGATAAACTTCTACACTGTGATATAGGGCTATTGAATTACTTGCGCAGCAAATTTTTATTGTGATTATCGTGCAAAGTAGTTACGCAATCTCTACGGGCTTCTTATTTGATGCATATTTTGATGATGATCAAAAGTATGTCTAGATTTTTAAGATGGAAAACTGAACTTATCTGCGTCAAATCTTCCACAAATCCTATATTTAGACACAATTACACTAATGTTTATCACTTTATATCTGTAATTTCGAACTGAAACATAATTATTTAATATCAAATAGAGGAATAAATGTTTGGCCAATATGGCGGGTGGTTGTGTATAATCAGGGCATCGTTCTTGTTGTCTTTAGTTTATTAGAATATTTTGGTGTTGCCTGCAGGTAGTATACAACAATTTGACAAATGTCTGAAATGAAATACCGACAGAGTCGAATGATTTACCCAGAATTTGTACCAGATCTATATCTTCTATTTAAACAGTTGATAAAATCTTTTGAACCAATATTCATGCGTTGCTTCTCTTAAATCATTGGTTATGGCATTTTAACAAAAATATGACAGCAGAAAGTTAGGTTATGGTGAAGTTGTATACCAACATATTTAGCATATGTACAGCCTTTAACAGTTGTATAAGTGCTTCCGTTGGGAGCAACTTGTTGGCTAAAGTAGTAATATGCACAGCAAAACAACAAGACTAGGGTTTGTTTTATAAACGTTACCATGGATGCCACAACACAACCATTTTGACTAACGTGCAAATATGCCGCATAAAATAGTTGTATAAACGTTTATGCAACAGTTAAAAATTTTTGAGCAAATATGTTGCAGAAAGCAAATTTGCATTCCACACAACATTAAGCCAGCATTTTGATGTTCAGGCAACAACAATAGAGCGCTTTTATGACCGAACGGTTCTTTTACCAAAAGCTTATAGCACTACTTTGCTAGTTGGGTTGTTCTAGTTTTTCATGAAATTTGGAAAAAAGATACAGTAGGTAATGCGGTTGTAATTTTGAACAGCGTAATCTTTGGTTCTTAATGATTGGAGAGTTTTGAGGTTAGTATTTGGTGTATGTCAATCAGGCCTCGGTCTGGACTTGAAACCCTTTCTAACCTTGACGCCATATCAGCGTCGCCAAGAATGAAGTCGCCAGAAGCATCGTTTGTGTGTCAGGTGACAGTGACAAAGAGGTAACATTTTCCGTCGTTTAATAATGGTTTTAGAAGGGATCACCATAATTTATGGTCTGCGGCAAAAAAAGAACTAATACAGAAACAAGGAACCTTGGGTACAGCCGTTCATCCCTGATAAAGACCGCAGCGATGATTTTTTAAAAGAGAGATTAATGTAGAGGAATACGAGGGATGTCTTTTAAGTTTTGCATATAGAAGTAAAGTAGGCCGCGCGGATCGAACGTCAGTACTAAATCTTAACCTCACTCTTCAGTAAACTTAAATTCAAAGTTTCACAACAATACGTGCAGTGTTCTCACTACAGTGACTTTTTAAGTATCACCAAGTCATTAGAAAAATGGAACTCAACCGAGAACATTTTCGCGCCATAATTTATTACAACTTTCAGAGAGAATTATCGCAACAAGAATGCCTTGCTGAGTTACTGCCTGTTTTCGGCAACGAAGCGCCACATCAGTCGACAATTTCCCGTTGGTATGGAGAATTCAAACGTGGACGGGTGAGTCTTAGCGACGATCCCAGGGTGGGTGCACCAAAAATGGCAGTCACCCAGGAAAACGCCGATGCTGTGCGCAAACTCATCATTGAAAATAGACATGTGACATATCGCGAGATTGAGGCGTCCTTGAAGTCCTCAAAAACCTCAATTCAAAAAATTTTACATGAAGAATTAGGAGTAAGAAAATTAGTTTCTCGTTGGATACCCCACCTGTTGACCGAAGAGCAGAAAGCACCCAGAGTTAATTGGTGTCAAAAAACGCTTGACCGTTTCAATTCCGGAAACTCAAAAAATGTGTACAGAATTGCTAGTGATGATGAATCGTGGATTTACTGTTATGAACCAGAAAATAAATGACAGTCGGCTGATTGGGTGTTCCAAAGTGAAGAAAATCCAACAAAAGTCATCCGTTCTCGAAGTGTTTCGAAAAAGATGGTCGCGACATTTGTGTCAAAAGTGGGTCATATTGCAACAATTCCTCTTAATGAGCAAAGAACTGTTACTCCGGATGGGTATACCACCATTTGTTTGCCAAAAGTCATCACCGAGCTTCAAAAAATCAACCCCGAAAGAAGAATCATCCTCCCCCAAGACAATGCAAGTTCGCACACAGCCCAAAAAACAAGGCAGTATTTAACGGAAGAAAACGTGGAATTATTGGACCATCCTCCATATAGTCCCGATCCAGGTCCTAACGATTTGTTTACTTTCCCGAAAATTACAAACGGACTGCGTGGTCAAAGGTTCCAGTCACCAGAAGAAGCAGTTGAAGCATTAAAAAATGCCGTTTTGGATCTGCCAGCAAACGAGTGGAATATGTGCTTCGAAAATTGTTTCGAGCGCATGCAGATGTGTATTAATCTTCGTGGAGAATACTTCGGAAAACAGTAAAGTCAGCAGCGGTGGCCGCAGTAGTAGACTCTTCGGTCTCCTGATCAGCCGCCGTGCGCTGTGCGGGTTCGAGTCCCGTCCCAGGAGAAATTTTTCTCTTGGCTATGGATGTTGTGATTGTCCGTAGGTGGTAGACGGTCTCTGACTGTCGAACGCGGAGGTACCACCCGGCGGATCTCGCAGGCGGAGCCAGAATGTGTGCATGTTGCATGCACACGTGTTCCCTCGCCAGAGTCCGTGTGGCGTTCCGCCTTTCCCATGTATCTCCCTATAGTCCCACGGTACCCAATGGGTGCTTAGACCTTAGACCTTCGTGGTAGTTGGAGTATATAAAAAAACAAGTCATTTAAAACTACCTACCGTGTTGTTTTATTTCCATATGCAAAACTTAAAAGACATCCCTCGTATTACGTTTTTAAATGTCGTGATGACACCGATGGAACGTGGTTCATTGACGATGGTTCATTGGCAAATTATACAGGGTGCGGCAGAGAGGACGGACGTTTTTGGGATGGGTAGTACTCTCCGCCTCCGTCTACGAGAGAGGTGGGGAGGGTGCCGTTTGACTCGTGAGATCCTACCATTATTTTACCAGTTGTCGTTATGGAGCCTTGGACGGTGGAGCACCGCGTTTTCGCCTATGATTGTTTCGTCCGAAATAATGACTCAGTCATCGTCGTACAGCGTGAGTTTCGTCGCCACTTCAACATTCATCGGAATAGAGCTGTTCCCTCTCGAAACACCATCCTTCGTTGGGTTGAATCACTTCGCAGGCGTGGTGAACTGATCAGCAGAAGACCAAGAGGAGCGCCGCGAACAGTTCGAACTCCTGAAAATGTTGAACGCGTTCGAAAGGTTTTTCTTCGCAGTCCGACTCGATCTGCCCGGAAGCATTTTAACACTGTGGTATAGGATTCGGCACCAGCCTTAATTTTATTGGTCAATTTCAATTTATTCAACCAATAACAAGCCGGGTGCCGAAATCGCTACCGGAATGTTAAACAGTGCGGAGCATGGGGTCAGAATGTTATCAATTTAAATTTACTTACCTTCCGCTAAAAATACGTAAGATAATAATCAACGCACGTTGTTTCCTATTACGATATTTAATGATTTTAAAATTAATAATTTGGTTTAGCAATAAGAAAAATCCCATGAAAAATTTAAAATTATATATTATAGAAAATAACTGAATTTAAAAAGAATGCAAGGAAATGTAAAAATCTAAAAAATCATATACTTTTTTTGGATATTTGTATAAATAATCCGCGGGTGGAAAAGTGGTATTTTCCTCCCATGTAATGTAAGAAGCTAAATTCTAATATCTATACACAGAGTGTATTTTCTCATTCAAGTACAGCATTTATCATTTCAGGGAAGAAATTATCACTTTTCGTGAAAAGGTAGTAGAAAATAAACATATTAAATGTGAATGTTTATTGGTCCGTTCAAAAATAAACAAGGAAATTCAAAAAAACAACAATATTGAAAAATAAAAAAGAAAATTCGAAAATTAACAAAATAATAATGTAATAGGTTTTAGTGACCTGTTCCATGAGACTTAACATTCGGTAAATTTTGCTTTACATTGAGTGCTTCTCTTTTTTTTTCTTGGTGCGCCTTCTTCCTTTGGTGGCCGACCAATCGGTAACCTTTTGCAACCCCTTGTAATCCCCACTTATTTCGGGTCACTCATGAAGGCAACCTCCCCGACCAAAAAACTAAATTAACACACAAATACTCCAGATTTGCCTTAAAAATAATTTCATCAACTGATTTCCTCTTTTGAAGTCAATATTTTTTCATCAAATTAATATGGGACTACCCCAGAGGCATTTGTACCCTTTCATTTAAAAAATAATTATCATAATCGGATAAGCCATCTTGAAAAATCGGTAAACACACATAGAAAAAAATATAGCTGACGAATTGAAAACCTCCATCTTTTGGGAAGTCGGTTAAAAATATATTTTGCATTCGTTTAAACAATATTATGCCCTTCGTGCGCCTTGAATTTTCGAAGTAGGTATTCTGAAAATTAGTTCTAACCCAAACAAGAACAATCTAGCTCGAAAACATTCAAAAAAGTCTATCTCCAAAAATAAAAAAGCTACGGTCGTGATTAGAATCAAATAAATAATCCTTTACAATAAAAATACACTTACCTAGGCGACGCGGATTTGCGAGACCACATTTGAATCGCCAAGTTGTAAGAGTTTCTACCTCATAATCTCTCAGCCACTGCATAGTACCTTCTTCGTCTGTAAACTTTCCCCTGTATATATTGTTTTTTATTTTAACGCAACCTTCCATTGTTCTGCTCAACTCGAAACGTATTAAAAACGATGACGCTTGAACATTGAGGTTATAATATCTAACGTAAACTGTGTAAACGATAAAGAACTTCCTTACGCATTGGCGACCTTCGAAATTCCGAACTGTACTTCGGTAATCCTCAACATTCGGGTAGTGATTTCAGCACTCGATATATTAGTAGAAGCAATTTAAATTGATAACATTCTGACACTGTTTTCAGCACTGTTTAACATTCCGGTAATGATTTCGGCACCCGGCTTGTCATTGGTTGAATAAATTGAAATTGACCAATAAAATTAAGGCTGGTGCCGAACCCTATACCATAGTGTTAAAATGCTGCCCGGAAACATGCTGCTGCACTTCGCCTTAGTGATCGTTCGGTAAGTCGCCCACACAGCCCGAGCATCCCTGGTCGCCTTATTTCCAGGTTTGGCGATGTTCATTGGCCTCCTCGGTCCCCAGATTTATCCATATGCGATTTTTTCTTATAGGGACACCTCAAGGCTAGAGTATACGCGAACAAGCCCCGAACTCTGGACAAATTGAAGGGCGAAATTCGCGTGGAAGTCGCCCAAGTTGAGAGAGCGATGTTGGAGAGAGTTTACGCGAACTTCCAAGAATGCATCCAGCACTGCATCAACGATTTCGGCCACCACATGCCTGATGTGATTTTCCACACTTGACTGTTTCAAATGCTATTTCATTGTGAACCTGATTCCATCAATAAATGTGTTTTCGAGTAAAAATTAACTATTTTATTAATTTTTTAAAACCGTTCATCCTCTCTGCCGCACCCTGTATAAATTGAAAAGTGACATTATGTCTGTTTTTTGACATCTTGTAGGTTTTTTATGACATTATGTAGGATTGCCTACAGGACTTCAACTTGGATCTAGCTGTTGTTCACTTCATGCTCACTTCTAGCACGCGCGGAATGAACTGTTTGTACACTAGAAAAGTTGACATTTTATCTGTTTTTTTTACGTTATGTAGTTTTTTTACGTAATAACCCTGCATGTCGCCAGCCCTTTTCGCTCTGTAGCTACGCTTTCAAATTGGCGACATCGCCAAAACAGTCGCCAATCTATGCTGCTTTCCCTCAACTTTTATGAAGTGTTGCATTCCATTATTAACAGCTGTACTTACTTAATGACAGGCCGTAATTATGGTAAAATTTGTGGTTGCCCTTCCTTTAATGACAGCTACAGTATATGGGGTGTTACTTAATGACAGGCTGTAATTAAATACCTCTGTACCTCATACCATACCTTTATAGACCCACATTTAACCTACGGTTTAGAAGTCTTCCAAGAGGTTATTCTAAATACAATATTTAACAAACCAAAATTATATCCCACAATGTCTTATACAAAGATATACACGTACATATGAAACACTCTCCTACATGCTAACATCAACTATCAGAAATTGACCTGTAACGATCAAAAAGTCAAACGCAATCACCATGAACTACGAGAAACGGTAGTACCTAGACTTAACACATCTATAACACAACGATCATACCTTTATTTAGGACCAAAATTATGCGTGAATTTAAATAATAATTTATGTAAATAATTAAAAAAATTAAAATAATGGATATTTTCTTTAGCAATGCCAGACTTGCACAATCTAATAGTTATTGGCAACATCAAATGCATCGTTGATTAGTTGTTTCATTATTTGTGTTTTAATTATATGCACAATTGCAACATTTATGGTCCACGTACAGGCAATGCCTCTATTTCTTATTTATTTATTCATTTTTCAAACGGTGTTTAATATAAATAGTAGTATTATTACAAGGGCGCATTCCTAAACTTAATTTAAGTAGGATAGTTCATATAAACCTGTGTCCGGTTTAAGGTTTAAAAAAAAATGTTGGACCTCAAGGTCTTTGTTCCGATTATGTTGAATTTCGGAAGTATTGTTCACTGCAATAAGACGTAAACTTAGCACTGACTAACAAATATCTTTTTGAATTCCTGTGGCGTCTCAGGTGGCAGTCTCTCGAATCATATTGACAAAAAATATACGATGACTTTTCTGAAAAATATTTAGGGTGTCCGCAAAGTTGGGGTTTTCCTTTTCAGAAACAACTGCGCTTAATATAACAAAGCTAAGGTGTGGCGAAACGTGAGCGAACAAGTAAAAAAAACAATTAAAAATAAATGTTCAGTTGGATTGAAATAAACACGGTTCTGTCATAAAATCCTAGGCGCAACAAAATAACAAAAAAGAGATCGAAAATATGACGTCGGTGTCATTTTTTCCTGGTGAACGTATTTTATAAGTTCTGTTCGAAGTTGTCGTCGTTGGATTCAAAAATACATATGCGTGCTCTCATAAATGTAATGGTTTGTTAACCTACACTACCGGCGGCGACGTCCAGGTTAGGTAGCATACTTCCGTATTTACATCGTAGTCGTACATCGTATACCTGTATGCTGGCGCTGGTGTATATGCTACTAAGAAAATCCGCTAATTCTCTTAAGATCCACCAGGTCGTCTAAAGGAAAACCCCAACTTTCCAGACACCCTGAAGACTTTTTTCGGATTAAGCTGCTAATGCAACCTTTTTTTTGTCTTGATATTCATTCGTGTCTTACTTCTTTTACAAGGGAAAGATAAAAACAACTTCGTTACAGGTCGAAAAATTATTAAAATTATTTCGAATCAACTTTGGTCGTTGCCATTGGTCTGGCACTATGAAAATATCTTTGACTTTCCGTGACGGTTTGCTATTATTTTTTCTGTCAAAGGCCACATCTTTGACACCCTGTATCTTTGAAACTATAAACTTGCCTGCTTGGGCTTAGTTTAGGAATACGCCCGTGTAACGGGTGTTTTTTTTAGAGGTATAGAGCTTTAAATTGCAATAAAACAACGATGGATTATTCGATTGACATGATTTTTTTTATTAGAAAGATAATCTTGAGGCATTACATTTTAAATGAACATTTATGGCCGTATATCGGCAATCATATGGCGAATGTCGTCTTCCAAATGGTCAAGCGTTTGTGGCTTATCCACATAGACCAATGACTTTACATAGCCCCACAGAAAATAGTCTAGCGGTGTTAAATCACAAGATCTTGGAGGCCAATTCACAGGTCCAAAACGTGAAATTAGGCGGTCACCAAACGTATCTTTCAATAAATCGATTGTAGCACGAGCTGTGTGACATGTTGCGCCGTCTTGCTTGAAAAACAGCTCCTGGACATCATGATTGTTCAATTCAGGAATGAAAAAGTTAGTAATCATGGCTCTATACCGATCACCACTGACTGTAACATTTTGACCATCATCGTTTTGAAGAATGATTCCACCAGCCCATAATGGGCACCAAACACTCAGTTTTTCTGGATGTAACGGTGTTTCGACATAGACTTGAGGATTATCTTCACTCCAAATGCGGCAGTTTTGTTTGTTGACGTAGCCATTCAACCAGAAGTGCGCTTCATCGCTAAACCAAGATGGCTTATAAAATCGGGAACAACTGCAATCTCGTTTTGGGAAGATTCAACGAATCTACGCCTTGCTTGATGATCGTTTGGCTTCAGTTCTTGCACGAGTTGGATTTTGTTAGCACGCAAACAAGAACCTTCCGCAAAATCTTCCATAAAGTGGTTGGACACACATCCGATTCCTGTGCTCTTTGGCGGATGGACTCATTCGGGTCTTCCTCAATGCTACGCTCTACAGTAGCAATAGCTTCCTCTGTACGCACCGTACGGCGTCTCTGGGGATGCGAGTTATCAATTAGAGTAAACGTGGTGCGAAAACGTTCCATGGTTAATCGAATTAACTGCTCTGATGAACGATTTTGTCGACGATAAAATGGACGTAGTGCGCGATACGTATCCGCACAGCACCATTATTTTCGAAATAAAACTGCACAATTTGCAAGCGTTGTTCAGGCGTGAGGCTATTCCAATTGCTAAACCAAACTAAGAATAAATCCCTTGACAGCTGTCAAATCGGTCGCCATCTTCAAAAGTAATGCCAACTTAAAGTTCTATACCTTGAAAAAAAGTACCCGTTGGTTATAGACTCTCATTAGGTAAGACCCTGTACAGTGTACATATATCTAATTCACCTTTAGCTACATATTTGAAAATGCATTTCATCGCCTGTTACAAAAACTAAAATCGATCAAGCCATGATAGATAATAATAAACATTGAACGCAAAAACCGCAAGTGTACAGAACGGTAAACGCAGAGGTGTGATGAAGAAGACGGTGTCGAACACGACAAAATTGCTTCAAAACGTTGTAAAGCAGCGATTTCGATACAACATCGAGATTATACAGAATAAAAGTCAGATCGTGCCCCGAATGGCCTCAAGCATCAATTGAAAGTTAAGAAAAACGTGGCACACGTGTTACTTCATGTCCTTTAGACATTCTACAGGGTGATTTGGAAAAACGTGGCAATATTTGCGGGGCATAAAGTAGATAAAAGATAACAAAAAGTTCTCATAGATATGAGATATATAAAAAAATACATTTATGTTCATGCCTGAGACTACATGGCGTAGGAGTGGGGTAATTTTGATCTCTAGAGAAGAAAAAAAACATTTTTTACGCCACTGACTATTTTGAATCATTGAATTCCATAATTTAAATGAAATGGTTAATTTTACATGAATCGTGTCTGACGTTTTTTCAGACTACGAGCCCCTTACCACTTCAGTTGGCCCACTTCAAGGTTTGTACCAAAATATGCCTTTATAAACTAAACATGACGAAACTATTTACTTCTAGATACACTCTAGTCGTAAAAAATACATATTTGAAATCACTTAGACCTATAACTAATAGAACATCTGAACAAATAAACAATGCGCGAATAAATGTGCGAAGTTAACAAAGCAACAATTGAAAGATTACCATTGGGTAACATCACCTTTATTTTTTATTACGGCTGAAATTCTTTGGGGCATAGTGTTATCCAAGTTTTGGCAAAAATTTGGTGTAAAACAATCCCATATTTCTTGAAGCTTTTCTCAGTTCGGTGATTGTTCGAGCAGGATGTTTTCGTAGAACCTTTTTAATCTCGTGCCACAAAGTTTGAACAGGTGACCGATCTGGACTGCTAGAAACCCATTTCAAAAGTGGTACATTAATTTGTTTGTATCTACATTTCCATCAATAAAATGAAGTTTCCCTACTCCTTTTCATGACATACTGCCCCAGACCATAATGGATGCTGGAAATTTCACTTTTCTCTTCAGACAGTCAACATGGAATGTTTAATTTTTTTTTGCAAATAACTCTACTGCGACTGTCACCAATACAAAATTCGAATCGGGCGTCATCACTCCATTGTATTGCACACCATTGTTGAGGTGTCCATTGTCTATGTTCTTTAGCCCATCTAAGCCGATTTTTCTTTTGCAGTGGAGTTAATAGTGGCTTTTCTTTGGGCTATAAACAAGTTGTGCAACTTTAGGGTTTTTACTTCACTTTTTTATAAGAAAACTTACCTTGCAAGTGCTAAATCCCAGTTTGTGGGCCTCTCTATGAGTTGTGGACCTCGAAATTCTCCTTCCAACAGCGTCACTCCACAGAGCACTTAATTGTAAATAATTGGCACGCCTGTTTTTCGCGATTATCCTTCTTAATGCTCTTCGGTCGGCATTTGTGATATTACGTTTTGTCACATATCGTGGCTTAATATTAACTGAACCAGTTACGTTATATTTTCTAACAATATTTCTCACACATTTTGAAAACCTTAACTACCCAAAACTATTTTAAACGTCTTCTGACAGCTGTGATTAATAAAAACAATTGTCATGGCTTTTATTTTTCGCAGCCACCTATGCGTTTGAAATGAATATAGGTTGATATGCTGTAATTGCAACATGTGTTATTTTTATGCCTCAAATTTGATTAGGGAGTGATTAAGTTGGTTTTTTCTACTATATATTATCAAAATATTCATTGTTAATATTTTAAACCTATAACAACCTGCTACATTTTTATTATTTGTGTTTGATAAGAAAAAAACTAAGATTTCAATAGTTGGGCCAACTGAAGTGGGAAGGGGCTCGTACGTCTATTCGAGCAAAATCGGCCTGATATTATAAGAAAAATTGGTGCAGTTATTGAAGTTTGACATTGGAACTTGTTTGTACAGTGTTAAGAGAGTCTATCTCGCCATAGCGTAGTTTTTCCGGTATCATCAATAGCGTATCTTGGTAATGATACATCTTAGGACCTATGTTTTATACCTTTTTTGTTGTTATTCTCGTGTATCAAAAATGCCATAATAGGTGTGGAGTTATCGCAAGATTACAGCGAAAATTTTCGGTTGCCTACTCAACGGGAAATTTTCGTAAGTAATATCATAAGAGCATCTATTTTTTTCTGAAAAAATACGTTGCTAATATTTAGTAAGAAGCATGAGTGCTGGTAGTAACAAAAATCCGAGTCAAAGACCAGGATTTTTGCACTGGAACGAATGTTTTTTGTTAAAAAAATATTACTTTGCATTGTGTTTCTTCGATTTTTTTTACAGGAAAAAATTAGATGTCTGAATGGTATTTGAAAAGACTATTGCATGATTTGCCTGCATATACATAGCTTACAAAATTTATTGACAATAAAATCAGAAAAATTGTTTAGCGTCGTTTTCTGGTGTCCTAGGAGACCATAATTCCTTGTTATCAAAGGTGTTGTAATTTTTGGTGACAACAGCTGACAAGTTTTGCCGCGGGTTAACTCGAAAAAACTGCTGAAAGGTGCTGTCATACAATTTTTCCATCTAGAAAGCATTTCTGTACCTCAGAGCCAGACTAGGTTAAGTCCAAATAAGTAGTTTTGAGATAATTGAATTTGAAATATTTTTGTGCATTGCATCATAAGCTCAACATATTGACAAAATCTAGTCTAACTCTGGGGTACAGATTTGTAAATTCATAATTCAAAATTGCGCGTTTTTGATTGGTAGAAATTAAGACGAGGGAAATAGTCAGTGAAAATTGCTCAGTAGGTATCGAAAATTTCCCGATAGGTCCGTAGCTATATTTACGATTGGTGAAATGTGCCTTGTCATCTTGACATGCATGAATATCAAAAACTCGTTGTAATGATACGTTATGTTTCATCTTAATTTGTTTATTTTTCTGTAATTTCTATGTACCTACCGACTTAATGTAAATTTAAATAAAATTTCGAACCTAACACATAACGTTTACTCTTTTAACTCGGGAAATATTCTACCGAATTACACTCGTGTATCACAATAAACCTGATAATTTTCCATCCAAGCATGTTGTCAGTAAAAAACCGCATTCGGTTATTTTGACTCCGAAAATAAAGTCATGCAGTTTTTAAACAACACGCTTTCACGAAAAATTATCGGTAACTTTGATGCACTTGTGTAATTACTTCCGAAAATGTGGTCACATTTTTCTGGGACATCCTGTATATTCAAGAAAGGAAGTTATTATTCTGCGTTGGCCGCGAAACTTCGCTCATAAAACCAGTTGAATGAATATCCTAAACATGTGAAATGTCGGAAAAGGTTGATGTAAGGTGTTGATTCGCTAACGGTCTCTATCGAGATGTGAATTTTGGATAACGTTAAAGTTTCCGGTACAATTGATTTGGCGCTATTAATCACTTGTTGTGGTTTGTCAGGTCGTGAAACCTACGCAGCGTGTAAGAATACAAAAAATGGTCTTTATTTCGAAGAATTGACGAACAATAGTGATGGCGTCATTACGGATAAGTAATGTTTTTTTTATGGAGCTAGCCTCATGTATTAATCCAAAGGGATTGACATATTACGATTTGAGGGTAGGGAACGCAAATGCATGATAGTGCTTTTCTTCAATCTCCCTCTCCACTTTGATTTTTTGAACGGATCAATATACATTGACATTTAACTTGATAATTCGAATAAATACGTTGAGTTGTTGAGTTCAGTTTAGAAGATGCTGGACACAATAGCCGGTCCGTAATTTCGCGTGAAACACTTTCAAACATAGTAACATGGATATTTTTACAAATGTTTGTTATTCTAAAAGCTACTACACGCACGCCGCCGGCACAAGCCGCGCAAAGCCGCCAAGCATCATTCCAGTTGTGACAGTCACATAGAACGCTAGTGAAGTGCATATTTTATGGTTGGTTGGTTAAAATGAATAAGGAAATCATCAGCACAGCCGCCGCAGTTGTAATTTTTATTTTAATAAGAAAAAAATACAAAAGGACGAGAAGGTTTGGGTTGCACCCTAGTTTACAAAATGGAAAATGGCGAAACGGTACTGTAATGATAAGAGTATAAAAAAGATGATGTGGGGTGTCAGCGTTTGCGCAATAGCATGGGTTTCTGTACATCGTCTATGCCTGCACCAGATTTGACCAACTGTTCGAACTTCTTTTTTTCCCGAGAATAAGAGAGGTTACATTTTTTAACTTTCTCTCTACTTCACCTTTATCAATGTCAAATACACTTGCAATTATGTTCAGTGCGTCGATTGTTCCTATTCTTATAGTCTGCATTTCTGGGATTCCATAATATATCATTTTCATGAAATTTTTCAATTAAGAGCAGCACAGCTTTGTCGTCCCAATTAAACGACATTTTAATTTGTTTAAACACACAAACCGCACAACACTACCGCTCGAATGCCAGGAACGAAGTGACGCCGGCAAGCCGCGTAACCCGCCGGCACACCCCGGCGGCAATGCCAGCGGCTCCTTTGCGCGGCAAGGCCGGAGGCTTTGTATGCCGCTGGGTGTACGGAGGCTTAGCCGGCGGCTTGCCCGGCGGCACTGTGTGTAGCAGCCTTAAGCCGTATATCCAATATTGAAGCAGGTTCAGTTTCGTACACCTTTTGCTTCAAATAGCCCGATAAAAAAGTCTCGAGGCGTCAAGTCTGGTGAGCGAGCTGGCCATTTCACAGGACCTGGGCGGCCAATCCAACGACCGGGAAAATTGTTATTTAAATAATTCCTAACTTGTCTGGAGTAGTGTGGTGGAGCACGATCTTGCTGGAATACAATATCAGTATCGAATTCATTAGGATTCGCTTCGACGATTTCGGTGATTAGAGGGTCAATAGCATTTTCCAGCATATCCAAATACAGTTCCCCGGTTAAAGTTTGTTCGATGAATAGAGGCCCCACAATATGATTTCCCGATATCCCAGCCCAAACGTTATTTTTTTGTGGATATTGAGTATGAGTTTCCCGGAAGACGTGAGGATTGGTGTCACTCCAATAACGACAATTTTGTCTATGCACATTACCGTTGAGAAAAAATATACATTCGTCACTAAAACAAATATTTTGGATATAGGTAGGATGCCGTGCAATGCTCTCCGTCATAGCCTCGCAGAATTCTGTTCTTCGATCACGGTCATCTTCAGTTTGCTGATAATATACCATTTGAATTTTTTATGGGTGATACTTATTCTTTTTCAAAAGTCTCCATACAGTAGAAGGACAAATCTCACATACATTCGCGATGGAGGAAGTAGACTGGGGATTTACTATGATGTCACCAATTATTTGAACTTGGTTTTCTTCCGGGATGGTCGGATGACCTGGGGGCTTTTTGTTCTTCACACTACCAGTAGCTGTAAATTTATATACAAGTTCCCTTAAATATTTTCCACAGATAGGACGATTCGAGAAAAGATCATTAAAAATCCTTTCGGTCTCGTAAAAGTTACTCGTCGCACCATAAATAAAAATCGCTTCGATTTTTTCTTCCAATGGACGAGAATTGACCATTTTAAAAATAGATCAATAGTATCTATAGCACTAAAACCGAAAACTAAATAAGAATATTTTAACTGTACAATGATGTTTGTTTTCGTACTGATATTCTTGTCACTGTCAACAAAAAATAACAAAACAAGTTTTTATCGCTGTTGTGGATATGGCAGGAAATTACAATTATTTGTAGAGATATGCATATTAGTTCAAGTAATTATTAAATATACCACCATTTTGTAGTAGGTAAAGGTATTGACTTCATATTCTAGAGCTGAAAAGTACTCGTTGGGGGCTTTAAAATGATGTGCCACAAAACCCCCGTTTTCATATAATTTTTTTTCGCCCAGCAGCCATCTTGACATTTTCATCTATCAATTTTACTTTAAAATATCGCATCAATTTCATTAGCTCGAGTTTTAATGTTTTGAATTGATCCGTTCAAAAAATCAAAGGGGAGGGGACATTAAAGAAAAGCACTGTATCATGATTGTTGCTATCTATAAATTATTTTTTACCGCCCAATGGTAACCATTTTTTATTTTCTAGCATTAGTATCAGCTACGCCCAACTAGCAAAGTAGTGGTATAAGCTTTTGGTAAAAGAACCGTTCAGCCATAAAAGCTCTCTATTGTTGTTGCCTGAACCCAAAAATGCTGGCTTAATGTTGTGTGGAATGCAGATTTGCTTTCTGCAACATATTTGCTCTAAAATGAAGTGTTTAAAATATTCTTATAGCATAGTTATACAACACCTTATAGGGCAAATTTTTAACTGTTGCATAAACGTTTATACAACTATTTTATACGGCATATTTGCACGTTAGTCGAAATGGTTGTGTTGTGGCATCCATGGTAACGTTTATAAAACAAACCCGAGCCTTGTTGTTTTGCTGTGCAAATTTACTACTTTAGCCAACAAATTGCTCCCAACGGAAGCACTTATACAACTGTTGTTTAGTAACTGTTAAAGGCTGTATATGTGCTAAATATCTTGGTATATAACTTCACCATAACCTAACTTTCTGCTGTCAAATTTTTGTTAAAATACCATAACCAGTGTTTTAAGACCAACAACGCATGCATATTGGTTCAGAAGGTTTTATCAACAGTTCAAACAGAAGATATAGATCTGGTACAAATTCTGGGTAAATCATTCGACTCTGTCGGTATTTCATTTCAGACATTTGTCAAATTGTTGAATAACACCTGCAGGCAACACCAAAATAATACTAATAAACTAAAGACAACATGGACGATGTCATGATTATACACAACCACCCGCCATATTGGGCAAACTATTTAATATTAAATAATTATGTTACGCTTCGAAATTACAGATATAAAGTTATACGCATCAGTGTAATTTTGTCCAAATATAGCATTTCTG